ACTTAATATTAGTTTCTTAATTTCTTCATCATCAGTGATTTTTTTAAAGTAAAGAGAAAATCGAAAAGGAGGGAGGAACTCTGGTTTTCAACCCACACACCAAAACCGTGCAACACAATATGGGTTGCCTTGCGAAACAGATCTGTTATCTTTCACATGTCTGATGTTCTCGTAACAAAATCGTACATTTTTACCACTTGTTGCAAGAAATGCCCTGCTTTGACCCCACATCCATCAGATTTAAGGATTTTTAAGCTCTACACGGTCGGTGACTTCTTTTGCACAAGTCTAAATAACTTTGAGCAATGTTGCGCTGCAAATTAAAGCAGGTAAAATGTGGCAATTTGGTGCCAAACAGACCAGGAWGTGWGTCGTTTTTCTTCCTGGCAGAGAGGTCTGATTGATGTCGCGAGCAGACAGAAGCAGAGTCAGACGTGTGTCACCACTACTTCAGCATAATTACTGCGCCGCATGAGTCTGCTCACGCTCAGGCACAACAGCCTGAAGCAACACATTGCACAGGAAAAAAAGGTGCAATCATTCATAAACTCAGTGTATCTGACAGAAACCGCTGAAGGCTAAATGTTTAGCCACCGATAAAACACAGGCACCAGCTCTCTTTCACTGAGGGCAGCTAAAAATATCTCAATGAATCATTGGTTGGTTACACGCCTAAATTTAGCTGTTTTTATGGTTATAATAATTAGATACGAAGATTAAAAAAACACTAGCTTTTGAAATCATGTGATTCACAAGCCAGTTTTTCAAACGAAATAACACTCCTCACTTTTTCTTAGAAGGACTTTTGGCTGGTGGGGGTTGTTGGGACGTGCCGCCTTTATCAATGGAGTTGCCACGACGACAGCTCTGCTCGCCAGCCGCAGGAGAGGAGGAATCTGATTGGGCGGCTTCGCAAACCACCTGGAAGCCCTGTGGGTTGGAGATGGACAGATTCAGAGGAGGCGGACAGACACTTCCTGTTGATTAAAAAACAATGAGGCTGGACTGAGGTTTCTGTCCACACCACAGCCCACCTCACTCCCACCATCAGCAACCAGAGCCCAGAGGACAAACCTCCAGACTGCTGCTCAAACAAATCAACTCAGGAAGCAAAATCAGACTACAGAAATGTCMTTTTCTGTTAAAAACAAGCAAACAAAGATAATAAGAACTAAAGGTAGCAAAAACAGACACTAACACTTGCAAATCTGTAGCATAATGTAGCAAAACAGCAGCTAAAAGCAGCAAAATGATAGTTCTAGCTAAAAGTGGCAAACTACAGCTTAAAGCTATTAGTAGCAGAAATATAACTAAAAAGCTAAACCAATCAAAAGAATAGCTTCAAACAAAAAACATCATTGATAAAAGGGGTAAAACAGAGCTGAAAGCTAAAAGGAGCAGAATTATAACTAAARCTAAAAAGCAGCAAAATGGTATCCAAAATCTAAAGGGTCATAACGTAGCTTAAAGCTAGAAGGAGCAGAAACATCAAACTGTTAGCTAACAGTCACAAAACATAGCTTAAAGTTAAAAGTAGCAAARGAGTAGCTAAAAAGTCAAATYAGCACAGTGTTTCCCCTAGGAAATTGGTCTTGGGGTGCGGGGGAGGTACTTGTTTTATAAAAACATAATTTTACATGACTCACCTTCAAGTATAGTAATACATTTACATTATGTGAATATTTAATTGCCTAACTAAATCCTAAAGTTAAGGACTCCTCCTGATAATTGTCAATAATAAGGATACAATAATAATAATCACTTATTATTGATATTAAGTGGTTAGAACTCTGTGCAGCAGCAGATGATCTGAGTGCAGAGTTCTCAGTTTGTCACACCTAGAGTCACACAGAAGAGCTCCAGAAGGTTTCAGACTGTGGACGGTTGATTGTCTCTTTTGTGTCCCTGATGGAGACTGGAGACCAGTCCAGGTGTCTCTGGTGGAGACTGGAGACCTGTCCAGGTGTCTCTGGTGAACTGGAGACCTGTCCAGGTGTCTCTGGTGGAGACTGGAGACCTGTCCAGGTGTCTCTGGTGAACTGGAGACCTCTGGTGAACTGGAGACCTGTCCAGGTGTCTCTGGTGGAGACTGGAGACCTGTCCAGGTGTCCCTAATGGAAACTGGAGACCTGTCCAGGTGTCTCTGGTGGAGACTGGAGACCTGTCCAGGTGTCTCTGGTGGAGACTGGAGACCTGTCCAGGTGTCTCTGGTGGAAAATGGAGATCTGTCCAGGTGTCCCTGATGGAGACTGGAGACCTGTCCAGGTGTCCCTAATGGAGACTGGAGACCTGTCCAGGTGTCCCTAATGGAGACTGGAGACCTGTCCAGG